AGAACCTAGTTACTGGCGACGAAAAGTGGATAGTTTATAACAATGTTACTCGCAAGAGATCATGGGTGAAGCAAGATCAACCAGCCCAAACAGTATCAAAAGCAGAGATTCACCCCCCAAAAAAGATTATGCTGTCAGTTTGGTGGGATCACAAAGGAATTTTCTATTTTGAACTCATGCCGCAGAACCAAACGATAAATTCAAATGTGTATGTTGAACAACCCGAAAAACTGAAGGAAGCAATTGAAGATAAGCGAGCGGCATTATCACATCGTAAGGGTGTTGTTTTCCATCATGATAACGCAAGGCCCCACACATCTTTGGTTACTCGGCAAACATTATTGAAATTGGGTTGGGATGTTTTGTCACACCCACCATATAGCCCTGACCTTGCACCTTCGGATTACCATTTGTTTCGTTCCATGCAAAACTCTTTAAATGGTAAAATTGTTAACAACGCGGATGATGTCGGATCATACCTAATTCAGTTTTTTAATAGCAAAGACCAGACATTTTACGAACGAGGAATTTTTACTCTGCCAGAACGATGGAAAAAGGTGATCGACAAGAACGACCAATATCTAATTGAATAAAGTTATATTTTTAAACAAAAATTCCGAATTTGCCTTTTTATTTGAAATTGGCAATGACTTAGTTGCCAACCTAATAGAATTTTCCCAAAAGTAGGAGCACTTAGATGCAATTTCATTTTTTTAAAAAAATTTCATTCTAACTCATAGCCAATCTTTTCGAATGTTCCGGGAAAATATAGAGATTTACTAGGTTCAAACTTCACAGATAATATCTCAAGCCAATCTGCCTTTCTTTAATACTTGGTAAATCAAAATTAATCAATCAATTGCATAAAGAAGTGATTCTCACCACTCAGTAGCGGTCACTTTCTTATCGCCTCATCGCCACGTTCTACTTACAGAGGCGGTATGCTGAGCACTTTAAAGGCTAGATTTTTTTGTTTAAGTGGATGAGAAATCTTTCTGCCTTCAAGATAAAATTAGCAGGAATAAATGTGCAAACTACTTGCATTGCGACTTTGCTGAATATTAATATTATTACAACCTCGTACAATTGAAAGAATAAAAGTAATTGTCTTAATACATATTCCGAATGAATTATAACCAAGCAATATTTCCTAAGTCAAAACTGTAAAACTCATAATGGCTGAGGTAATACATTTCCATGTTCCAGCCCAAATCATTAATTTTATTCATTTATTTGCTTAAAGAGGGAACGTGGAAAAGTCAAGTGAGTAGGTTAGCTTAAAATAATCATTGGGTAATTGGAGTGAATGTAAGGAAATTACTATAACTCTGTTTCCTCTGAGATTATGAAACGAAATGCCTCTCATACTCTCACTTTACGACTCAATAAGGCTTTTCTCATTATTTCGTTAGCCTTTTCCCTATTTTGCAAACATTCGTTTTTTAAACCATCTTTCATTTATTGGTAAAAGAGGTCGCCCTTTGATCAGATCATCATTGGGTTAGCTTCATGATACGACAACAACTTCTAATTTGGTTTCTCCTCAGCTAAGCCAGATTGATTTTGGGCTTATTTAACATTAAACATTAAATTTAAGTGATCAATTCAAGAGTGAAGCATATTCACCCTTTCCATTTGCAGTTTGTGAAGAAAGACTTAAAGTAATACGCTACTTTACCAACGAGAAAAGCTATAAAAGTTAAAGAAAAAATTGAAGGAAATGGCACACCCTTTTAAGAGGATGGATGGAATATATCTGTCATCCTTCAGAAATAACCGGAAGATGGGGCGGTTGGTATTTAGGGGATCAGAATTCATTGGTTTCAAAATGCTACGAACAATCATTTCAACCTTATAAAAGCAAAGCAAACACAATAAATTGACTTGTAATAATGTTAACATATGAGGATATTACAACCGACATGCTGATCCATATAAAGCTAATTAGAGGTGTTATTTATAATATAATTAACTCAGTAATTTTAGCGATCTTTCAAAGATAGCATGGTACATGAAGTTGGTGGAAGGATACTTAACTTTTGAGCTCTAATTTATCGAAGGGAGAACTTTTTGAGGTTTTGTGATTACCTTTGTGGTAGTTTAACTATCTCAGGTTATTTTCAAAGAAAGATGTCTCTTAATTTCACTAAGCAACCTAGAAATTGATGACTTAGATAAATAAGAGGGTGATTAGGTGGCTTCGTTTTCATTACACCGCGTTCATATCTGAACAATGGAGCCTGATTCCATAGAACACATGAATGTACAACAAATGGCCACTTCAATTAGTCATCTGGAAAAGTCAATATAACTAAATTAAGAGTAAGTACATTAATAGCCTCTATGAAAATATTATCATCAATTATGAATTTTTAGGAAAAAAGGAAACTTAAAGAAAAATTCACTCTCTTATCAATTCAAATTTAAATGAATTTGATGCAGAAGAAGTGAAGAAAAACACTTTATTATTTGTGTAGGTGAATTTGTTTGAGTTTATTGAAAGCAATTTCAACGCTAATTAGACACATACTCTGCAAAAAAATTCATTTCTTTCTCTGCGAACTCAATTAGAGATTTTTCTACGAAAACGTGCTCATTAGATGGGGAAATTTTCAACGGAATGCAAAATTTACATCTCATTTTATTCATTTCTGAATGGCATAGTCAATAAATGATTGAGAAATCTGGCATAAATAAATATTTGCTTATTACACAATTATAGCTGACGGGATAGGAGTGTGGGATAGACTTACCTCCATGTGATACAACCTGGGCAACGTATACTCATAGGCCAACAAAGTCTATTAACCGGCAGTTGACTTCTCACTTCAAACTACCATCACCCCACTGTATGTCATATTCGACTGCTTCCATAGTACTTACCTCACCTTTTTTCTATCTTTTCAACACTCTTCTGTCTCCCCTCCTCCCTCTCGACTGTTTTCACTTTGATGTTCCTCTCCCTCTGTGAAGCCTGAAGTCAACTAAAGGGCTACGGATAACCATCAAAACGCCTACCTTTTGATATAAATAAATAAAATATAATATTTGATGGGATATATCGTAATTTAGGTTTTCCCCTCCAATATCAAATGGCAGGCTTTATGATAGTTAGCNCGCTTCAGATTTTTCCACCAAACACTAACAACCTCTAGATGTTTGTGCTTCCAAAATACCTATCGGTTTTACTAACAGTATGCTCGCATACAGGCAAAATGGCAGGTTTGTTCCACTAGTCAAATGGTGGAATCAACTTTGAGACTGGTAGCGCGTAGCATTTTGTTTGGATTTAGCGAAATTTTTAAGGCAGATGATGATGATATGCTTACAACCTCAAGATAGCGAAACCATATGGTAAGATGCCAAGTGTAATCTTTAATTTGAGGAAGCTCAGAGCACAATCCAGGCGACTCACATTTGCAAACCCCCCCCCCCCACCTTAATTACCTTTGTTGGTCAGAACGTACAAAGGGCACGCAACATATCTTAAAGTGATTTTACAACAAAGTTGAGTACCATTTCACTAAGAATATTGCCCAATGATCAAACCTCATTTCCAAGGTAATATTAGTAAGGTCAAAGCGAATACAAAATCACAATTTCAAAATAAAATTCACTGCATTGTAGTTTACATTCAAGCTGTACACTCGAATAGGAGGAGGAGCTGGAGTAGGGGGGAGGGGGGGGTAAAGAAGGGGTCAAAGAAATACTATTCCTTTTCTTCCATTCATACTTTAAACACTCCTACACATAGATATAAGTATAAAAAAGCAGAGTGAGTGAGTGAGAGAGAGAGAACGTAAGCCTAAGATTGCAAAGCTGAGCCAGGGAAGATAAAGGAGGAAGAGCGTAGGCACCTCTTACATTAGAAAAATAAAGGGAAACCAGGGATAGAAAGTGGGAGGGGGGAGGAGACATCTAGTGGTCGTAATTCTGTACATATTATATTGAGATATATAGATTGCCATTTCTTTACAAGTAATTGTTATACGTCTAGTATACGAAAAAGTGGAAGGAGTGAGGAATGAGGTGGTGGGGGGGGGGGGGGGGTTGTGCGGGCTGAAGTTAAATGCATTATCCTAGGAGAAGAAAAGAATTGTCATAGGAGAAGGGGGACCTGGAATCTAGACCGGTTGATTCAGATAAAAGCACTGATTAAGCTGCCAGAGTTCTGAATACCTACAAGCGTTGCTCAGCGATTATGTTCGGAGATCTCTCGTCGACGCTTGCCACTACTCGAATTCGGTTTTGTGGAAAGAGTTCTCCTCTTTCCTTTCAAACGAGAGGCAACTTGATGGAAATCTTCCGCTTCCTCAGTATCCTCAGAATCGCTATCTTGAGACATGGAAGAAAACATATCGGAATGGGCTTTGCATATAACCTGGGAAAAAAGTAATTAGTTAGAATTTCGCATAGGACGCAAAATCAGAATATTCTTATTGCAACTAACGCGCACTGTCAGCATAGTTAGCAATTGATCAAAATTCCCAACTGCACAAGTTGAATATGACTGAAGAAGGATTGAGAGTTTTCTTTGAAAAGCTACTCTTCACTCTATGCTAAATTTAGAGAACAAATTATGTTCTAGAACATTCCACACTGTTTAGTAAACTCTGTTAGAACCGTAAGAGACTGCCATCTCATTTCTAACCCGGGGCATGTTGGAACTGGTATGTTAGAGGTTCTTAAATGGAGGCTAGGACAACTCACAGTTAGCAAGATTAAGTAGCACTGATGGCTGGCAAGAACAAAAACTTGCTCTAACGTCTCAGAATCAAAGCATATATGAGCTCTACTTAAAGTAGGCAATTAATATAACAATTAAATAAACAGATGTTGTGATAAAATCAAGAGGCATTTATTTAAGAGGTTTCAGAGCTCATGAAAGAAAAAAACAGTCACAGTCTAGATGTGGCGTGACCTAGCAGTAATTTGGAATGAACTTATCAACATTCTACAAGATAGAAGAATACTTAAACACCTCGCAAAAGGACTGAGGGTCAAAAACTTAAGAAACAACCCAAAAATGATGCCACATTTTATATTTTAAAATAGTAGCAAGAAGCGCTTAAAAACAAACCCCATAGTCCAACGGTAAAACGGTCGAAAACTCTCATAAATGATTATTCAATTAACCGGCGATTTGATAAAGACATTGCTTTATCCAGGGCACTAATGTCTGATCACATGGTAAATTACCTTAGAGACACAGTGACTAGAGTATGATTGACTTTGTCAAGAGTACCTCGCTAGTTTGTCTAAACTGTCAAAGCTGGCACAAGGGGTGTGCGATAGATTTATCTCCACATGGTGCACCCTGGGAAACGTGAACTCATACGGCAAAAAAGTCTATTAACAGGCATTTGACTTCTGACTTCAAACTACCATTGCCTCACTGTATGTCCTATTCGACCACTCACAGTACTCACCTTACCTTTTCTCTGCATTTGTGTTTGTCTGTCTCTTTTACATCTGTGAATCACACTTCTGTCCCAACCTCTCGACTTTTTGTCACTTTGATGTTCCTCCTCCCCTCAGTTATCATTTCCTTTTGTGGACTTCGGGGTTCACTATCAAAACGCCTGTCATTTGATATAAATAAATTGTTATAATTTTTTACAGATTGAAAGCTCTCTGGATCAACTCCAATTTATCCCACAAAACTACAAATGTACGTTATATTAACAACGGTAAAGCAGATATCGCCGGTTCAGATGAGAACAATATGTTAAATATTCATTAAAAATTGATTAATAATCTTCAGTGGCATCATGCCGGCACTGTATAATTTCAAACTAGGAGTTCTCGGTCTCCCTCTTGACTTAGGACTGGGAACTAGCTAACCTCCAGCTTTCAGTTACTTCGATACTACGTAATCCCCCGTTGGTTGCTGACTTCGAAATCCCTCTACACGCAACTCTCAACTCAATGATTAAAAGATTTCACAACCACTCACAACTAGGAATAACCCGTCTGAGGAATACCAAGAATTCCTCCACTTTTTCTAGACTTACCCTGGCGAAGTCACCGAGTTTAAGGGGTGGAAGTACATCAACACTTCCTTCAACGTGAGCGGCGCAATAGGAGACATCGCACAAATAACAAAAAACAGTTCCATGAGCTCCACATATAGCACAATGGTGTATGGGGCAGATCCACCTTTCTAGAAAAGAAAATACCGTGTTAGGACAGGTTACCCCCCCCCCTTAACCGCCCACCCCACGAGGTACGCAGTACCGCACTTACTGTCAATAACTCTGTCAGCAAGAAGGCATTTAATATGGTAGGTTTTTTTACAGTCGGATCTGGGACATTCTAATCCGAAATCCCCGTTGTTTCCACTGCTTGAGATGCCCGATTTTGGAATTTCGAGTATCTTGGAGATCACCTTATTGCATCTGAAGTGCCGAAAATGACAATTGAGAGAAAGATAGAATAAAAAGTTAAAATTAAGGCTGTATTTAAGGGACCCAAGCTAATAAACGAATAAGAAGCTGAAGTTACCAACGAAGAACTGAGATAAAAAACATGAGAAAGCGATAGTCAATGAATAATCGATTGAGTTAAAATTAAAATTAGTGTGACACACAATGAATTGCTAAACATAAAAAAGTGATATGGGAAGATGTTAAACCTTACCAAGGGAATTCAAGCTAACCATCTTTCTTAATTATGAGTCAGATCTACATTTAACCAACAAGAGATATGAGAATGTGTCACTTTCCTGAAACAGCTATAAACGCAAGATGCAGATAAATATTTGCATATATTGAACAAATGGTAGTTAATTATACACATTGAGTAGTCACCACGGCAAACAAAATATACCTTAGGTGTCACAATACCAATTAGATGAAATAATGACGCATACCTTGAGCAGGAACTGGTCATCTTTTTCGACGAAAGCACCGACAAGCCATTAAGAGAATTATTGTTAGTATTGGAATTGGAAGATGTTGAAAACTGGGGAAGATTGGAGTCAACAGATGTTGCTCGAGAAGACTTAGTCCCATTGAGGTTTACACTCGCCTCGAGAATCTCTCGTCGTCTTCCGGTAGACTTATTGCGATGATTAACGGTCGCTACAGGAGCAGCAGTTGACTTTTTCTTGGATTTTAATCGACGTAACTCTATCTCTTCTCGTTCACTGTCAGAGGTGGTTCCACTGTCATCGGAGAGATGAGGGCGATCCTTAGCAGTTCCCATGATCCCTTGGCAATTTGGCGCTCCACAATGACATTTGCCCATGGAGACACCATTGGAGTAACTGTTGTAGTTGAATGTCAACTCTTCACCAGGTTCAATATTCCTGGAAAGTAAAGAATAAAAATAACTAATTTGAACGTTAATAAGATAAAGTGTCGATCTAAACAAGTGGTGAATGAAAATGAACTTCTCATGGCCACCTAAATACGCTCAAATGTTCGACAGTGTATCACGTTTCAGCACACAATTAATATTGGAAGTCAGTCATTTGAGGGCAAAGGCGATGGTTTATTAACAAAATGTGTCTGCTTATTTAAGGAAGGAACCATTAGGCAAAACTCAAGCCCAACTGTGTTTTATGGTTTTTTCAAGAGACTGGAGTAAAATGCATTTCCCAAATGAGTGAAATTGCCAACTGAACTGATTAAATTTGGTCCATAAAGATGTGGCGTAACTTAAGTGTTCAAGGATCAGGGCTCTACATTGCTAACCCTCTATACTCAAATGAATGGTAGGAAAATGAGCGACAAAATATTTATTTATTTCAAATGGCAGGCTTTATGATAGTTAGCATTAGCCCTTTAGTAGACTTCGGGCTTCACAAAAGACGAGGGAGGNCTGCAAAAAAATTCATTTCTTTCTCTGCGAACTCAATTAGAGATTTTTCTACGAAAACGTGCTCATTAGATGGGGAAATTTTCAACGGAATGCAAAATTTACATCTCATTTTATTCATTTCTGAATGGCATAGTCAATAAATGATTGAGAAATCTGGCATAAATAAATATTTGCTTATTACACAATTATAGCTGACGGGATAGGAGTGTGGGATAGACTTACCTCCATGTGATACAACCTGGGCAACGTATACTCATAGGCCAACAAAGTCTATTAACCGGCAGTTGACTTCTCACTTCAAACTACCATCACCCCACTGTATGTCATATTCGACTGCTTCCATAGTACTTACCTCACCTTTTTTCTATCTTTTCAACACTCTTCTGTCTCCCCTCCTCCCTCTCGACTGTTTTCACTTTGATGTTCCTCTCCCTCTGTGAAGCCTGAAGTCACCTAAAGGGCTACGGATAACCATCAAAACGCCTACCTTTTGATATAAATAAATAAAATATAATATTTGATGGGATATATCGTAATTTAGGTTTTCCCCTCCAATATCAAATGGCAGGCTTTATGATAGTTAGCATTAGCCCTTTAGTTCACTACAGGCTTCACAGAGGGAGAGTAACATCAAAGCGAAAGAAGTTGAGAGGGGGGGGGGAACAGAAGAGTGCCTTAAATATTTAAAAGAGACAGGCACAAAAGTAGATGAAAAATGAGGTGAGTACTGTGGAAGTGGTCGAATATGACATACAGTGGGGTCATGATAGCTTGAACTCAGAAGACAACTGCCGGTTAATAGACTTTTTTGCCGCATAAGTATACGTTGCCCTGGGTGCACCACTTGGAGGTAAGTCTATTGCACACCCCATACATGCAAAAGTAATAATGTTTCATCAAACAAGGCTACAAAATCTCTTTGTGAGGGAATATTATAAATGAATGGGCTCTCATAATTGTATTGGTGTGAAATTCAAACAAAATTAAATATTTTACTCGCACAACAAATTACTCTTTAACTTCGCTCACACATAAGATTAACTGTTCCTAACTGATTGAAAGACTGCTCTTTCATAGAAAATGGGTGCTACTTAACTTGAGGGTGTTAAGAACGTAGAAACATTGGTACTCAAGCTACTGAAATGTCTCAAATTTTAAAAGAAGACATTTTCAATCCTCTTCCCTGTTTGAAAAATGCGAAACTCGAATAGTTTCATTCTTGTGTCACAAATTTTAGTTTTGATATATGCATTACCTTAGCACTCTCTGATCATATAGACTTTATATCAATAATTTATTTATAAAGAACTGAATACTTCTGATAACCTTGGATCAAAAGTCATTCTTCTATAAATTCAAATGAATTAGTTATTNGAGAGAGGGGGGGGGACAGAAGAGGGATTCAAGGACGTAAAAGAAATAGACAGACACAAAGGCAGAGAAAAGGTAAGGTGAGTACTGCAAAATGGTGGAATTTGAGATACAGTATGGTGATGGTAGTTTGAAGTCANATTTGAACGTTAATAAGATAAAGTGTCGATCTAAACAAGTGGTGAATGAAAATGAACTTCTCATGGCCACCTAAATACGCTCAAATGTTCGACAGTGTATCACGTTTCAGCACACAATTAATATTGGAAGTCAGTCATTTGAGGGCAAAGGCGATGGTTTATTAACAAAATGTGTCTGCTTATTTAAGGAAGGAACCATTAGGCAAAACTCAAGCCCAACTGTGTTTTATGGTTTTTTCAAGAGACTGGAGTAAAATGCATTTCCCAAATGAGTGAAATTGCCAACTGAACTGATTAAATTTGGTCCATAAAGATGTGGCGTAACTTAAGTGTTCAAGGATCAGGGCTCTACATTGCTAACCCTCTATACTCAAATGAATGGTAGGAAAATGAGCGACAAAATATTTATTTATTTCAAATGGCAGGCTTTATGATAGTTAGCATTAGCCCTTTAGTAGACTTCGGGCTTCACAAAAGACGAGGGAGGGGGGGGGGGCAGAAAAGTGATTGGATGATGCAAAAGAAATAGACAGACACAAAGGCAGAGAAAAGGTAAGGTGAGTACTGTGTAAGTGGTAGAATATGACACACAGTAGGGTCATGGAGGTAAGTCTACTGCACACCCAAAGCGACAAAATATAACAAGCGATTCATAAGCATGCTGAGTAGAGACTGGAAACTGATTTAATTCGCCTTGAGTAAGGTTTTAATGCACAGTTTAAATATACAAATTGATGCCAACAGTACAGTGCCTAATACACCCACTTTCACGTTTGATTAGAGTTTAAATCAGCTTCAATGAATAAATTCTGGACCCCATTTCAACAAAGACTGAGAGCAATCCATAGGTAAAGCTTTAATTATGAAATTCTCACCCCTGGAAATAGGCCAGCTCTGTTCGTTGCAATTTAAAGTAGCAAACACACTAGCATAAGGTAGAAATAGATTGCTTGCTAACTTGCACTCACCTCACGGCAAAAAGACCAATTCTGAAATCTCCTTTCACGTTCCAAATATGTGCACTCAAGTTAGGATCACAGGAGTGATTATAAAATCGACTCATGTTACCCTTGGGACCCGCATCGACATAACGGTGATCCAGGGCCATAATGTAAGTGCACTTAACATTGTTCTCCTTTGCGAAATCGGTTCGACGTCGGGACTCAGCCTCATCAATTAGTTCACCGACGTACTCGTTTACGAATTCATCCTTGAAAGCGGAAAACAGAAAAGCAATAACGCAAGTTAGTTCAACTACCAAAATGCCATCCTAGTTCCACTCCATGTTAGACTAATACCCACAAACAAAAATCAAATATAAATTATTTTGAGCTCAAACAGTTATCATTTTGTTCCTACTGCGATTCTTTTCCATGACACTAACCTTAGGAATGAATTGTAGGGTCCTAGCACCCCAACCACGACGAGAATCAGTATAGAACATCTCTTGTTTGGGGTATGTCCTCTGTGTGAAGAATTGATTTAGACATAGAGGACCAAGCTTGCAATTGACACAATTCGTAGAGCAAATACGGTTGAGGCAATTGCTATCCAAACCGCAAGGATTTGCCTCAGTACAAGAACAACGTTCAATGCCATTAATGGAGTCATCATCCCTTGAGCGGATCCTAACTTGACCGATGGGTACATTTGTCTACAAATTTTAGGAGAAAATAAACAATAAGGATAAAAATCTACACTCACATTGCAAAATGATACTGTGCCTAAGACTAGTAGGCAGTAATGTCACAATCAGACCAAGTCTAATTCCAGACGCATGAAAGCATTAATGAGATGTGCTTACGTGTGTCTGACGTATCTTTTTCGTTCTGGTTTCTAGAAGTCGCCTTTGTAGCATAGAAGTATCTGCTCGTCGATGCTCTCATTATTTAAAGGGGGCCCCAATGCAACAACCAATCATTTACTGGGAGGAACATTGAAAATGAATGGAAAAATCTCACTTTCTGCTAAGGTTCTGGTTGATCAATAATAAATGTAGGCACCCTATTTATGTTAGGTGAAACGTAGTCTTTTTCAACACAAAATCTCTGCATTTGATGCCCGTTCACTGACCAGTACCTATAATTTTGCAGAAAAATTCACTTTTAATATTGAGAGCTCACCAATTACCCCGACATCATTTTCTCAAGTATGATGTTGAAACTCAGTGGGACAATGCTTCATGCCTACTTTAAATGAAACTAGCTCAAGATCCACTTAAACATCATCAAATAAGCCAATGGTTAAAGAAGGAGGAACGCCGAGCTCTTAAATAGATATACTTTCTCTTTCCAGGATAATTAATCGAATTGTCTCCTTCCACAATTTAATTCTAACTGGGTCCATCGATTCCCCTGGGAGAAACAGAGCAGCACATGCAATCGCTACACACTCACACACACACTCAACTCTGTCCATTTCGTATCCGGAATTGGGGAAAAAAAACACAAAAAAGAAGAAGGATAACAGCAAGAAAAAACCGCAGCCTCAAGGGAATGTACACATCCAATTCATAAAAGCAAAAAATACACAGACACGAGGTTGTGAAAGATAAACTAACCGAGCAGGAATTCAGTAGTTCTAACTAAAGTTGTGTCTCCGACATTTAAAAGGGAACAAATAGGCACCGTATTTTGAGATAGCGCAATCTAATTGCTTGAACAGCAGCAAATTAGAAGTAAATTGGGCAAGAGCCAAAAGAAGCGGCGATTGTTTAGCCAGGTATGGTCGTCAGTGGGGTATCCTATCAGATTAACAGAATGAACTACTGAATCGACAAAATAGCGAAGAGCGCGAAAAACACCCACAACGTAAGCGCAGTGGGGACAAAATCAAAGTGTCTCCGTTACAAACCCTCGCACCACCCCCCCCCCCGGCTCCCCTACAAACCCCTCCCATTTCGCAAATGGGGAGACGAAAGCGGACACGATAGTATCGTGGCTCCAATCAAGGCGAGGCAATCGCAATACCACAGGCCATTTTCACGAGGTCTACTTCTTCTTAATCTGTCTCCAATGGCATTATCACGATTATGTGGATAGAGAGAAGAGAGGAAGCATGTGTATGTATAATTAGCAACTACGCTGTGACGTTGCTGTGTATGTAGGGATGCTTATATCTTCATCTCTACTACTAGGGTGACAAAAAGTGCAGCGAGGGGTGCAGTCCTGTTTATAAGAGAATGGGACTGTACCATCAGAACCACGGCGACGGCGACTACTCAGAGGGATGTGCTTTTTTCTTTGCCTGAGTGGCTGCAGCCTGTTGATGTAAATGTAAATACAGGGGCATGTGAGAGATGGGCATTATCTCTAACCTCCCTTCTGACTGACGTATCAAACTCAAAATTAATACATTTCAATAGAAAAAAAATTAATACAAACACCTCAGGATTTAAGAAAGAAATTAAAGACAATGAAAACTCCAAGATCATTTAGAAGATTGGTTTCGAAAAGCAATCTTGGGCTGAGTGAGAAACTTGAATCTTCTTTACCAACCAATTTAGTTGGTAACTCCATTCCCAGAGTGGACACCAAAGCCGCAAACTTTCAGACGAAAGCATTAACTGCTGCGCTAATACACAACTTAAATGAAATTAGCCAGAATAGACAAGACTGGTGAGGTCAACTAGAAAAATGTACCATCTGACACGTTCTCCAAGAGGCCCGGTCTCTATGTTTTAAAAGCATCTTCTTCCAAGGATATTAGGTTGGTAGTAATTATTATGCCACAATCAGGTGGCTCGGAGGCACAGTGACCAACATATGCGAATGCAAAATCTATAAACCCTGAATTATGTATGCTCTTGGACGCACAACCGGTGCTTAGAATGAATGGCCATAATCATCCAAGAGTTGACCATTATCAAGAAGCTTCAGATTTATCTTTAAGAAGTATTCAGAAGATACAAACTGTACAGCTGACATCGTTAATGCTGATATGAAACTTACGTTGAAAGACAATTTTAAAAGGATTTTTGAGGGGATGTACAAAGTAGATGTTAAATTCGTCAGCTTTCTGAACTGATTAGCGAATAGGCAAAAATCTCGAACCACAGAGATCAAATCTCCCTGTCATCTTTCCACAACTTTAACATTTCGAACAATGCATCTGATTTCTGATTAGGATAAATGATAGACAATTGCAAAATCCCTTGAGCAAATTGGAAAAGTTAGTTCGATGTAGAACCAGAATGAGGACTTTAAGCGATGGAAAAAACATTGAATATTGTTGACTAAGAACTCCATTGAAATAAAAACTCCAATCAATAGCCATAACTTTTCGATCGACCAACTGAGAGAGCACCTTACTACTTCATCACTTTCGCTAAAGCCTAATTCCCATCTCAACACCTCACTAATCCATGGTTAGTCACCCGCCTCTAAACAAAGCAGTAGTCACCACGAGCCCAAGGGGATAGTACGGCTAATCAAAAAATATTAACACCGTGGCACTACTCTCTATTACACCACATATATTCCTATTCTAATTAGACCAACCGAAAAATCGAGAACTTACTCATGACTCAAGGAGTGGCAGAGAGTGAATAGGCTACTCCTATACTTGGCATTCATTGGGGAAGGGGAAAAGTAAACTCCCACCTATTCCTTAACACCTCTCTATCCCATAGGGTGTGTAAGCTGTGCAAAGAGGAAGGAAGTTCTCTTCTTTTTATCGTGCAGTGTCAAGATTGCGGAGAGATAGGAATTTCCGTTTGTGGTTACAATAGCAATACACGTTGGAGTACTTTACACTCCTTCCACCCCCACACTTATTTAGATTTTCCGGTTACGGTGCTAAGGAAACTCACCTTAACAGCGACATAGTACGCTGGTCGATCACTATCCAAGTATAGAATGCTTTCTCTATACTTCTGCCTTGCTGATAGGGCTTCACCGGCTGTTTTCACAGCAACCAGATAGGCGGAATTTTTACGGATATTGAAAGCTTGTCGTCGTTGGTTAGCTTCGTTGTTGCTTCCACCACTTATCCGACGACTTGACGCTGAAGCAGAGGGAGATTTCAGTCGTGAACCCGATGTCTCTAAACCGAGGCTTTCCCGTGCAGAGTCTGCTAGGAAGAGTTCTAAGACAGGATCAGGGTCTTCTAGACTAAAAGGCAGAAACCAGACAATTAACATAGTGGATGGGTAGTAGGCAATACTGCGTCATCTATTTAAGAACATTGAAAATAACCAGTGTGAATACATACATTGATACTTGTCTGTGTTAACTGTTTCTCTAAGCGAGTTAAAGCAACGCTTGAATGATGTGTAAGATAATAGCAACCTGCTATCTTGGTCGTTGGCATAAAACTCGGACTAGATCACCTCAATTAATAGCTCTTCAATATTAAATCAGAGAAGTACGGCGTAACAACAACAGTCACTTGAACTTGATCAATTCGTATGTAAGCTTTCTACTACAATCAGGCGGATCTAAGTTGAATTATAGCATAGAAGATTAAGGAATAGCAAACGAGACCCCCCCCCTCCCACTTGTCGTGAAATCTAAGCTCGAACAAAACATTCATGAAATTAAATTTTGATGAGCTCTGGCTTTCAAATCGCCTTCAGCTACTTTCGAAACCATGTAAAACACGCTAGTGAAGAGTTCAAAGTTAACTCTACTAAAATTTAATACATCGATAAAAAATAACAGCATGACTTGCATAGGCGATTTTTTTGGTTAAATTTCTTGAAAATATCTTAGCTTTTAATTTATAAATCACAATAAGTACATCATAAAGATAATAATAGTTAGAAATGCACTTATAAAATACAGTACTAGCTTGTGGCATAGATCCTAAATGAAAGGTGGGAAGATTTAAGATAACCGACTAAGACCGATTAACGTCATGGTGCTACAAGGCGTAAACAAATAAATTGACAAGGTATAGTTGTGTCCACAGCCGAACGAGTGAAGTGTACATATACAAGGTCAGAGGTCATGGGTACAATACACATCTGGTGAACGATATGACCAAGTGTTAAAACCGGGCCAAAAGAGGATTGGCAGAATATAAATACCTAGTCAGAGATGTCTAATAGAACTGCTTAAATGGCCTTGCTTGCTAAATATAGACAATAATTTCCAAGTACAATCACAAAATGTTACATATCGGCCGTTTTGGAGCCGAATTCAAAGTATTCCACTTATCATTCAAGCAGATTAATCCACTCACTGAGTGTTCATTTGTGCTTATCGAAGTCGTGACCTCGGTATTGGTAGGAAAAGAGCTAGCCGTTGTAACATCGAATTAGAAAGGAATCGGCAACACCAAGTATTCTCAACTAGTTCGTAGTAAATTAGCTTTGGATGCGGTGCCTTCCACGCAGTGTGGTCAGTGACATTAATGATAAGAGGGCTTTACCACGCGATGGAAAATTTTACTAGCAAGTTCCTGAAAATGCCATTATTCATAAAATTCCACTTTGGGATCAGGCAAAAGGTGTGGATTTCTGAGCATCTCCATATCACAGAGAAGGTGAGAATTAAAATTTTATAATAAGAAGTAACTAACCCTGGAGGAACACACGTTTCATTAAGCTCCTGATCAACATCCTCTGGAGTGAAATAGTGCACTCGAGCTTGAGTAGTCCATATACACACTGGAAAGATCCGAAGATCAGGAGAGTCCTTATTCACCGGCAAGCTTTGAATCTTTAGAGCATCAACTGGGGAGATTTCGTTGAAGGGTGCAGAGGATTTGAGACCAAAAAGACGTACGGCGAAAAAGCCAAGACGAGACTTCAAATTCAGTTGAGTGAATTGCTCTAATTTGGATGGATGCTTGTAATGGAAGGAGCGTGGGTGAAGAATTTCACCGGGCCACCAGATACCATTTTTGCAGTCATCCTCAACGTCATCCGGAGGGAAGGAGTGTCGAAGGAACTGGAGATCCGGAGTAAGGAATTCCCATTTGAGCGAATTCAAGTCTTGGAGAAACTTTAGAGGAGGAACTCTAACCCAGACGATTTCACCGTAGCAAGGTACTCTGCCTCTCTGACAAGCTGTACAATAGTACTTTTCGTCCAGGCTCACCTGAATAAAGGGGAAACATAGTGAGTTAGGGGGGGGGGGCACTTCCTTCAAAGAAAACAAATACATTGAAATAAAATGTAACCAGAGTAAACATCTATTTTTCATTTGCAAACAAGCAAAGTTAGGTTCATTGATAAAGAACAA